TTTTGCCACACATTTCATTTTCCGAATTCTGCATATATATATGGGAGAGAGTGAGAGAGAGAGAGAGAGAGAGAGAGAGAGAGAGAGAGAGAGAGAAAGAAAGAAAGAAAAGGAACAAGAAAGAAAGAAAAGAACTGACGAAAATTTCTCTCAAATTTAGTGAAAACAGTACTTCAACAGTACTTCAGGCTTCAATTTTAAATCAAGCCTGGAAATAAACAAAAGATAATACAGGAAACAGCGCCATGGTTGTAGATTTGTAAAAAGAAAAGAACAGAGTGGCCAACGAGAGCCTTGTAATCGACGAAATCAAAATCCATCAACATTAACCTCATGGCTTTATCTTCGCATCTTTCAATGACATTCTAATAAAACCCGGAACAAATTGACACCAATAGATTAATAGACTACTTGCTGACTGTCTATTGTCAGGTTATATGAATAGATTATATTTCCCCCCAGCTACTGATAAAAATACGGCGTAGCTCAGGAGCCTCTTTAGGTGCGAGGGAATGAAGGCAACAATAAAGGAAAGAAATAGAGATTCTAATTTTCCTCTATTTCCTTCGCCCATCGTCCTCTAGATTTAGCAACGACGCGATTCTCGTACCTACAAATCAATCAGTCGTCTTGGCAGCCAATTGAAAAGAAAAAAAATTTCTACCGTTTGTTTTATCGTTACCAGAGAATTAACCATCGATGCGTATCAAATCTATGAAAGTGAAGTCATTCAACCCGTGAAATAGATGTTAGACTAATACACGTTAGACTAGTCGCTAATTCCTTTGTTTTCTTTTGTCTATTTGACTATTACATCTTAACTATTAAATTTCGTTTCACGGGTTTAATGTCTTCACTCTAACTTGTTACTACTTGTTATCGTAAATACTAGGTTTAAAAATTCTAAGTTAATTTGAATAATATGAATATTTGTATCATAATAAACTTATAATCAAATAGTTCCTTGTTGGTTGTTGTTACATTCATAATTGTTTGTTTTATTAACCATAAATTTTATAAATATGATTTCGGCCTACTCGGCCATCCTCAGGGAAATGAAAAGCGTTACAATTCACAAAGAAAAACGCGATCAAACCATTTCAATCAAACCATTTGAATCAAATCATTTCAAATCAAATCATTTCCTATTTGATAAAACACACAAAAAATTCTCATTTCTGTTTCCATTCCTTGTTTCATTTTCAATTCATTTTTCTTCTCATCTTTTCTAATTGTTTTTCCATTTCTATGTCGATTTGTTTTTCTTTTATTATTATTATTATTGTCATCATCATCATTATTATTATTATCCTATTTATATTTAACTAATTTAATATTCATATTAATATTTAATTAAATATTTGATATTTAATTATCATTATTACTTCTATTATTGTAAATATGTTTTTATAAGAATTGAAATGGAAACATTTAAAATTATTATTATTATTATTATCATCTTTATTACTGTTATTATTATCAATTTTATTTTATTATGATAATAATTATACAGCTTCTCATTAATCCCATATAGGTAACTGTCCAATTATTTTCTTAATTGGACAGGTCTTGTTGATATGGGATTAATTAGGCAGCTATATAATTAATAGGTAATGGGAAAATGCGAAAAATTCCTCTGACTGACAAATTG